CAAAGACTTGCTCTTTAGGTAACACTGAGATGAGATGACAAAGGAGGGTCTCAAAGAAGCTGCAGGAACAAGTTCATCTGTATTTGCAAAATCTGCAATTGCCAAATGTGCAAAGACACAATTAGCAAACAGCGACAGAGGACTGCATGGATGGAGAGCTCTGTGTTCCTCTCAGACCATCCAGACAGCCTTGCAGTATCTGCTGCTCAACTACCTCCTCGCTTCTCAACTGCAGATCAAAAGCACCTGAGGTGAAGAACTTCTCCCTGCATTTGTGTGAAAACCTAGCACAGTTTCACCAGCATCTTTTAAGCACAGACTAAGTCTCCAGAGCAGCCAAACCTGAGTCATGCTGATTAACAGGCCCCGTACCACCCGACAGGCATTTGACTTGACCCAAGGATTTCATTCCTCAAACACCTTATTAGATCCCTATGCCAAAAAATGGTTTTCAGTAACATGTGTGCTGCTTTGGGATCTCGGGCAGATTACTCTGGGAGTGAGGAAACATTTCCTAAGAGGCAAAAAAGTCATCAAAAACATATTTGATAAAACAGAGAATGGATAATGATGGTTTTTAACTACAATTCTATTTTCTTTCATCTTAGAAGCATGCTGTAAGTTTAAGAACAAGGGATGACAACTGGATTTTGTGTCTTTTTCCTTTTTTTTTTCTTTAAAAAAAAAAAAGAAGAAACTTCTCATTTGGGTCTTTTTTCTCCATCCCTAAACCCAATAAACCATATATTGGAATGACCTTGTAACAGGTTTCTGTGGCTCTTTAATCACCAGTGGTTGCTAAACGAAGCATGTCTATTTTCTCTGTTACATTACTATTGGCAACCAGGTCTTCAGTAAGTGCCCAGAAATATTTCCATGGCAACAAAAAGCATTCAGTATTTCTACTGTTTTGTGCAAATCTCGCTTTAAAATATTCCATTGTGGAGAGAAATACAGTACATTAAGTGAAATAAAGTCAAGATGCAATGTTCTGAAAAGAATATAAACAGGAAACATGTATTTTGCAGAAATGGGGAAAAAATGCCAAAGGCAAGGAGAAAAAAAAAAGGTTTAAAGCTATTATTGATGCTACTGAGTGCCTTTGCTGAATGTCAGCAAGTCCATATGCTCCCTTACATTGTCACTTGGGATTAGGTAACAAGGCTAACAGATATAAGAATGCCTCGAATACCTTCTCTTGATTTTTATCCATGACTGAAATTTTAGGCTGTCAGGGTATTACAACCTCTCTCTGTGTCTAGGTTATCACCAGAACAGTTCATACTCCTCATTTTAGAGCACGAATCCAAAGGAGTGAAAACGAAAGAGAAAGAGCACGCGTGTGTTTTGGAAGAGAAGCAGCACTGACAAGAGCAAAATCTGTTCTTCCACATCAATGTTCTTATGGAAGATGTTTTCAAGCCACAGTTCAGTGTTTCTCCCTGTATTATACAACTTAGGAGAAAAAAAGGAGTCAGGTCCCAGCCCTCAGACCCTCAAGCTGGCAACTTCGTGACTACCAAGTCTCGAGAGCTCTGGAGGGCCCTTTGCGCAGTGCACTGCAGAGAGAAAGAGACAAAACGTCACGTGGAACCATCTGGAATGACATTCCCTCTGGTGTAAAAAAGGCCTCTAAAGATCCTTGTGTGGAAGCAGAAAGCTCCTGGCACCAGTGATGCAGGTGCAGGAAGCTCTGCAAGCACAGCCTGTCTGTCCGTGGTGCTTCCAGACAGGCTAGTGCCAAGGAAAGCTGATAATAAGAGAGCCGAGCAGCAACATGGATGGATGCTCAGCTCCACCAAGTCCATGTACACAGGATCCACACACACACAGCTAATCTGGCCCTTCAGCTCTTGCTCCGTGCTTGTGCACGCACCCTGGCATCAAGATACCAGTCAAGCAGGCCATAGGGAAGGGGTCTGTGAAGACCAAAAGGTAAGAAACGAGGCAGGTGGAAGGTTGGACTCTCTGCTCTAACGGATGCAGCTCTGGGGTCTTCACCTGAGAATCCACACTGACTCCTGTGGGACATGACACGAGCAGCCCCAGTCTGGGAGACGGAACAGCCTGTCCCAAAGCTCTTCCCAATTATTTGCCTGGCCATAACAATGAGAGGAACAGTAATAAAGAAAGGAGCTAATTTTAACATTCAGCATGGAACACCCGCAAGGTTTATACCCCCTCAGTCCGGTATTACTATTAAATACAAAAACAAACAGGCTGATTTTCTGCTGGCTGCACAGCAAGGCTAGGTAAACAGGACTTCTCCAGAAACCAAAAGCCATGAAAAACTCTTTTAAGGCAAATCTTTTCAAGAGCATCTACCTCTTATTTCCAAAGAAAATTATGCAGATACTTGAAACCAAGCTCTGGAGATCTTTAGGGAGCTTTTTACTAGCTTCATATCCCCCTCCCCCTTCCTCCTTTGCAGAAACAACTTTATAGCTTAAAAGAGTTAAGAGTGGCTTAAACCCATGACAACACAAAGGTGGGATCAGCTGGGGCTCCCTGCTGTCCTGCATCACGCTGTTGGGACATGCACCTTCCCCAGTCCCTCTGGGACTTGAGGATCCTCAAGCCACACTTGCAATATCTACTGAGTAGGAGTCAGGTGGCTGAGACCGAGTCCTACACAATTAATTCATGTCACTTAGTGATCCTGAACTGTAGTTAAGCTGTTTCAAACTAAAATCAAAACTGGTTCTCGTTCCCAGCCTCCTGCCTACTGTCCTCTTCAGACTTATTTGAAACGCTGTGGGGGAGGTGGGAGGAGAAGAAAGCAATTTGGGAACCTTTCATCCATAAAATCATGAGATACGGCTAGCTTTTTAGTACAGCATTTCACAGCACATGGCACAGTAACATCTTGAGATTCCTGGCACAACGAAACAAGGTTTGAGATTATATATATCTTTAATAGCAATGACGCAAAGGCAGATGGTTCTCTAAGCAAAGGCTTAAGGCTAAACACCCCCACTGAAGGGTCCCTGTACCTGAAGCCAAACACGAGGGGAACAAACTACTCTTTGCTAGTGCAATGGGGCCTGATTGCCTTTTAAACACATGGCGTTCCACCCTGGAGACTGCCATTTATTTCAGTGAGATTAGTTGCAGGAAAGAGGAAAATCAGAAACACAACACGGAAGGGTTGGATTTTTCTTTGGGGTTTTTGCTGGGGTTTTTCCTTAGCTGTGAGAAACAGAGATGACAGAGAAGGAAATAAGCAGATTAACAAGTAAATCAAATTAATGCCCGAGAGGCCTGGATAAGACTGCCAGGGTGCTGGCTAGCTGCTTACCTGCTAAGCTTGCCTTGCCCTTATGATGGTTTAAGGAGCCACCCGTGCTGATGCTGGGCTGCTGGTCACTTGTCCTCACGTGGGACAGACCTTCGTCCTCTGCAGTGGTAGGAAGCTCCTCCTCACCAGCCCGGTCCGATCCACTGGCTGCCAAAGGCCTGGGGCTTTCAGCATGCTGCTCTGTCAAGCTGGTGGCAACTTTAACCCGTTTTTGCCTCTGCAGAGCCACGTCAGAGCCACAAGGGAGGCCTTGAGCAGCAGAACCAGGACCTGTGTGTGGAACGTGGCCATCTACTCCAGGATGCAAGTACTCCTCATCCCACAAGTCCAGGTGCCTTTCATCGTCCGAGTCCTCAGAGTAAAGCTCACCAACGCCTGCGTTATCCTCCAAGTCCTGGTTCCTCTTCTCACCCTCTGACTTACGACCTGCTCCGCTCAGGCTCAGCAGTGACGCGGAGATAGAGTCTCCTGCTTGTTGGATAGCTTCATATATTTGAGAGATCCAAGAAGACAGCGGCTGAAGGAAATTTTGAGCAGCCTCAGAAGCCATGTCTAACACCATGCCGGGATCTGATGATCAGTTGCTCAGCTTTGCCAGCATGTCACTTACAATGCAGGAAGCTATAGAATAAGCATCATAAGAGATTACTGTAAATGGCTTGTCCATCAATGCTATGTCAACACACTATGTACCTAAGATGTTCAAATGAAAGAGGAAAATGGGAAAAAAAAAAAAGACTTCTATCCATTTCAGAATCCCACTAGAAATCCAGAAATTATGTACAAATTCTATATATATTCTAGCAGAACTCTGGAAAGCTTTCATTCGATTGCTATCACCTTAAGTAAATACATAAACATAGGGCATCCGAGCAAAAGTACCTCTTCAAAGCACACACATGTTCTGCTTACAGCTGTCAACCAAAATACAAAACAACCCGCGGCCAAAAAGCAAAAGAACTTCCTGGCCTCAACTTCCACCACGTCCTTATCCTTATCACAGCCAGGTGGGGGGAGTTAGGAGAGAATTAGGTTTAGCTTGGTTAAAGTGACAGGCCTGAGGTTAGCAGAATGGGCCCATGGCAGACAATTATTTCTAATGCTCCAAAAAAA